AGGAAGTACAAGCCTCACTATGTGATACAGGATGACAGAATGGACTGATAGGTGCTTTGTCAGAATTTGTCATATCTCTTTTTCTTTCCTCCTTTTTTTCATTTCTAAGAATGGAGTTGCATACCTTTGGTGACCTTCAAGAAGATGACATAGACTCGGGCAAGATGATACATTACCGCAAAGTTAAAAAAACAAAATGGGTTGTAATGGCAGCTTGTACTGAACTAAATGAATTGTGAAGGCCCATTTGTTATTCATTAAGAGAAGCAGAGCAGATTACTGTTCAGCCTTCATAGGGAGCCTTTAAACTTAAGGTCATTTTACACTAGTACCCTTGTGGCATGGACAACATTTAATACATTTTTAACAGCTTTTACATTTCCATGGTTTGCAGCAGTGCTTGTTGAATCATTTCTGTAATGAACGTGTTTTAAAGTAGTTTGGAGTTACTTTGGGGGAAAAAACAGGAAAAAAAAAGAAATAATTGGGTTGATGAAGTGACTTTATATACTAAAGAGCTAAGCATGCAGAACGTACTGCCATAAAGTAACGCATGCTGATTCCCACTGCTAGAGAAGTACATCCCTGGGGAACTGTGCTGGCATTTTTTTTCTTGCTTTATTTTTAAACTTAACTAGAAGTATAGTTGTTATTCACAGTGCTCATTCCATTGGGGGAAGGCAGGTCTGAGGATAGAAATTTAAGATTACTTTGTTTGGGCTATTTCATTTGAGTTGCTCAGGAGTCTGATGGAGAACATTCAGCATTTTGGCATGTTGTGGAAAATGTGCGTGTTATCTGTCTATCGTAACTGTTGGTGTGGGCATCCAAGGAACCCAACGTAAAACGAACTTGGAGTGGAGGGTAGAGGTATGTTAATCAGAATAAATGTTGACCACTTTCCTCTCAAATGGTTCAGTGGTGCTGTGGAAAGTCAAAGCAGAAAGGTAGGTACCAATATAAAGCAATCTGAGAACAATTTGTTCAAAAGTATTGAACAAATCTAAAGTTCTATTAGCTTGAAGTATGATTTATAACTCTAAAGAAAAGTATAATAACCCCAGTTAAAGGAGGTAATCATTTCACAAGCTCACATTTTACTGCTGACTACAGTTATTCCTTTGCTACTTTTTAGATTGTTGCTGTCTTAACTGTCAAAATCCATACTACAGTGACCTAATTTTTGTTCAGAAAATATTAGAACACAAATGATATTTCCAGATTTGTTTAAAAATAAATTAATAAAATGCTAATTTAAATGTTACTTCTCCCAGCAGACAGCACATCCCAATTTTCTTTTTTCTTATTTAGCAGATTAATAGCACTTGTATACTTCATTCATGATGGCGTTCACTAGATTTTTCTATTGATTTTACTGTTCTGTGAGGATAATTTTTGACCAAATGCACGTGAACTAACAACCAGCGTATGAAGAAGAAAAAAATGACTGACAGAACTACTTTTAATTGAGATTTTGAAATAATGTGTATTTTAAACCAAAAAGGTCATAAATCAGCAAGCTTTAAATAACATTATAAATGCAAAAATGATTTCTATTTAAATTCATAAAGAGAGTAGAATCTAAGAGACTCTGTGAACTCCAAAATCTTGTTGCTGTTTAGACAGTGTTATTTCAATTAAGTTTTAAATGTTCAATTGCACTGGTATTACTGACCTTTCATTCAGTAGAAATATTTGTCTTCTTTTAAGTTTGCACCAGCTTCCATCATGGGATCATTTCTGGTTTGTGAATTAAAGCTGTTTCGATGAAAACTATTTTAATCTCTCTAAGTTTTTTAAAGTTCTTCATAGAAGTAAAAATGTAGACTATTAATACATGTTCATCACATATTTATAGAGTTTTTTTTTTGTTTGGTCAGAAAATGAGCTTCAATGCTTTTGCTATTATAGATTTTGGAATATGTAGTTTAAGGGATTGTTATCATCCCAGTCAAAGCAGTAACCTGAGAAAGGCATAGTGCCACTGCATTCATTTGTAGAACTCCCTAATGAGGCCATAAAAAATTCTGTGAGGACCACGCAGAATTACCATAGGAATTCTGAGCTGAGGTATAGTAGTATAAGTTTGTTTGTTTGAGGACATACAATTAATAATAGCCATTTTACATTGCCTGAAAGTGATGTAACTTATTTGTCATAAGAATAAAATAATACAACATTCTAGTAAGAGGAGAGTTCCAATAGCAGGGTTATCTTTGTTATAAAAACAGTTTAGGTAATTAAGATACTCAGTTGGCCTTTTAGCATAGAGCCTCCCCCAGATTTAAGGATCATATTCTCCCCAGTTTTAATCCTATTTCTTTTGCAGTACTCAGTCCAACACCCCTTGGATTACTGTTGGTTAGGCATCTTGTTAAGAATTTCACACAGATTTTGTAGTAACTGTGGTCAATGAAACACATGGTAGCCAGAGTAATGCCTGTGTGCCTCCAGAATGTTTTTTGTTTTGTGTGAGGGTAGGAGGGTCCCTGTGACAGAATGCCAACTGAGACTTTTTTGGAATAATTTCAGATGTTTGTTCTGCCGTTAGAAAAGGATACATTTAGTCACATGCTGGATTCAAGCAAGAGCTCCAGATTTGTAGAGGTTGAAAAAAAACCTTTTCATATAAGAATGAAATGTTAATATTCCAAAAATCTTCTGAACACTTCTTATGCACTGTATATCCCATTTAGGCAATCGTTACATCTCTGGAGCCACGTAGAAGAAATGTTTAGCATCTTCAAATGCATGAATTTTCTCATTTTAATAATATTTAGCTTGCAGTCTTTGTGGGGCAGAAGATTAAGATGATCCTTCAAGGGGAAGGATCTGCTTTTGTGGAAAAAATGCTTAAGTGTGCTTTGGTACAAAAGAGATCTGGTGTGACAGGGTTTGAGAGAAACTGCTAATGGTTAGAGCTATGCACTAAGCCTCCTTCCATGCAGGCCGGGTGAAAATAAATGCTCAAATTTCTGCATAGTTAATCAAATTTGACTAAGTAGACAGTAAGTGTTACTGAAAATAAATTGGAAGTTTTATTGCAAGAGTAGACAAATGATCATCCATGGAGAAAATGCTGCAGTGGATGTTTTCTTTTGTGTCATTCTGACATCAGAAATCAAGTAGGAGGTTTCATTAAAGAGTTTCTTTGGAAAACAGCCTGATTTGGAGAAGCCTGTATTGTTGTAAACCAGGCAAAACTATGAGAGGAGGAAAGTCTTTTTCAGTAATATTACTTCAAATGGTTAACTTTCAGACCAATAAGAACATTGACAAGGTAAATGAACACTGATAAACTAACAGAAAAAAAGATTCAAATTTAGGCTTGACATCTTGCCTAATAAAGGAATGAACTGATACCTGTACCCAGTGGTTATTTTGGGTATTGGCCATTGTGGTTTTAATATCTTTGAACAGTACATGGCACATTTCTCAGGTGGGAAAAACAGTGATGTTTGTCCACATAAGAAGTTTTCAATTGAAATTCCTCTTGAAGCAAATGTAAATGCCAGCAGAATTCATTTGATGTGATCTAATCCCAGTCCTGCTACATCACTTGTAACTAAACCAGATGAATCAAAAAACAGTCATGTTGGGCTCTCAGAAAGGGCAGGCACAGATAATATACAGTGTATTAGCAGTCTGCTTGTGTAGGCAAGAGTTACAGCAGCTCAAGCAGCAAGGTAAAGAAGAGCAGATTGCAGATTCCTACTTGCCAGATCTGTGAACTGCTTGGGAGAATACCTCTGGTTCTGTAAATGAATGATTCAGTAGTCAGACAGAATCAATCAGAGTTTAAATGAACCGCACAGTAATGTACTATATATTCCTTCTGAAATGGTGATGTACTAAGCTTTGTAGGCAGTTGTTAGTAACATCCAAGGTCAATTGTTCAAGGTCAAGTCTAGAAAATAGAAGAGATCATATGACTTTTACTTTTGGAATTAAGCTACAGAAGAGGGACAAGCTTTGGCAAAGCAGTGTTCTCCATTTGAGAATACAATATCTGTTGTCTGACATGTTATATAACCTATAATTTCTTCTGTTGGAAGATCAGAGGTATTGCCTATGGAATTTTAAGGCAATGGGGATTTAAGCTGTCTTCCATTCAGAGATTTTGTTGATATGACTGGCAGCCTTGGAGTCACAGCTAGGACATTCTGAGGTAAGCGAGGCATGTTTTCTTAAAGAAAATAATAGATGATACCAGTTGTGGTTAGTAACCATTATATCAGTGACATGTGCTGAATAAATATGTGGTCAATAACTATGAAGTTAAAATTTTATTTTCAGAATTTTTTTTTATTCCCAGTAGTAGAAATGAACGATTGGACCTTCACGATTTTTTAAAAGAAAAGAACGAGATGACAGATTTCAGTGGAAAAAAAGCTTCTGATTAAATGAAGTGAGCTGCAAGGAGCAACAGTCATGCCACAGTTGGGCAGAGACAGATGTGCAGATGAATAACCAAAATTAATAGCAGGCACCCTTAAAGAACTGGTTAATCTGCCAGTAGAGAGTCTGTCTCTTCTCTAGCCACTAGTACATCAGCTCATAAAAATTACAAATGAGCCCAATAGCAGCAAGAGCCTTAAGATCTGCTTCCTCATTAGTGAAACTTCAGAGAAGCATTTCCTATGGCTCCATATCTTTTTCTACCTTTTAGGAAGTTGTTAACAGGAATGTGTAGACTGAGTGGGAAGTGGAGAGGGTGTCAGAGGGAAGAGTGATAGAATGAATACATAATAGGAACAGTCTTTTTTTAATTACTTCTGCAAGCACAGTATTTAAACATTTTAATGGGGAAAATATATTAAAATGCTTGGTAAATGTTTTTCTATTGTAGAGGAAGAACTACCTTGTGTGGTTTTATTTATTCACTTTGCAGCCCATCAGGAGCAACAGTGATACTGGATTGTGGATGGGGGTATTCTGTTTTCTTCTTAGTTATAAAATGCTTAGTAGCAAATTCTCCAGTTTTGTGCAATAAGGCCAATATGGGGAAAAATGATCCAAAGCTAGGCTGTCCAGACAGTACAGCGTAAGTTAATGCACTCTGTGGTGTATGAGTAATGTTGAAGGATAAAATTGTTGCAAATTTGTGGTGGGGAAAATGCCATTTTCAGAGCAGAGAATACCAAGACAATGTAGAGTGAGCAAGGGGAAAAAAAATAAAAGGAAGTTCAGCCTTAGAAAAATTCTTTTTCATGTACTTGTGGAAGTTCCACAAAAACTGAAATGAACAACAGGAGAGCAGGAAGAGGTCGATGGTCAAGAGGTACACTAGGGGTTGTTCAATTGTAGTGATAACTTCAGCTGATAATGTTCATCAGGGTGGTGGAGGGTGAGTTTCAGTCCTCTAAAGAGTTCAGCACTCTAGCGCTGCAGGAACAGAGGATGTAAACAATTTCATTCCCTCTGTCTTCCTTCTGAAATTGCCCAGTGAAAGGTAGGAGTTTGCTTCAAGCACTCTCTCACAATTTATCTTCTCTTTGACCTCCTGTTTGGGTATGCTGCCTAATATATAGCAATTACCTCAAGGCTATTAGTAGCCAACTTATGGGAATGTATAGCTACTTACAAGACTGTTTTTCTTTATTAATTGGAATAATAATTATTACATGCACTATGATGAAACAAACAGAATTTTAAAACAGGTTGCACGTATGTTTATTGGTTGTAAATCTATGCTTGACTCTTTCTCTAATGCTGCAAAATAGATTGTGATGATCTTATTCCTCTACAGTGTAATCTTTATTTCTGGGTCATCAGACCACTACATTCAAATTGATTCAAATTGATTTGGGTGTTTCTTTCTCTCCTCCCTACATTTTTAATGACCTATTCTGGCCTACCAGCAGCTCTTACAAGGCATTCATATTTCTTCTCCAAGGTGATATATTCTGCCCCTTCACAAATTCATTGGCTAAATATTTATCCACACTGAAAGAAAGGGCCTCCATGCATGAAGGTTCCAGACAACAATAGTAACGCAGAGCAACAATGAATTTTTGAAGGTATTGAAGTGAAGTATTGACTTGTTAACCTCTGTGCTCCACCTCAGAATTTTGTTCATTTGGTCCATTTGTCTGTCTCTCTGGGTATATCTATGTTTCTATTATATATGCGTATAAACACAAGTAGAGTTTCCATTAATTGGTGACATTAAAGGTCCATTAAACCCCACTCTGCTGCCTCATAAGTTCAAGAAGTATTGCTTTTTAAACAGTTTTTAACCTGATGGAGTCAGAAAAATCACACACTTCTAAAGTCAAAGACTTTCCAAGTCAGTAATATTTTTCATTAGTAGTAGTATTCATCAATCTAAATTTATTCTCAGGCTATACTTAAGCACTTCCTACAGGTCTGTAATTACTAGTTGACATATCTATGCTACACAGATAGTATGTCAAGAGATTCTGAGCCTTACTTCCCTTCAGGGAACCTCATAGACTACAGATTGCATTAGCTATTTAGAGCAAAAGTAGTGTATAACTTCACAAACGTTAACATCACGTGTAGAATTATTGAAGTTGTTCCTATTTAAGGGATAAAGGTATTTATGTTTCCTTACCTGTCTTCTCACAACAAGTTTGTCAGCTGCCAGTTTCATAAAGAGTTTATTTAAGCTTGACACAGTGGGAATGGCCTGCACTTTCTCATTCATCTGCTGTATTTGCATAACCTTGCAGAGCTAATGGCTGCCATTGTGACAAATTAAGCAGGTTTCCGATGTCTTTAATGGATGAAGTCCTCTTGGACAAGGTATACTTGATTTTAACTTGTGAATAGTGTTTCCTGAGTGATGGAAATAATACATGCATTTTATTCCATTGACATCTGACTTGCGTGCTGAAAAACAAATGTACAAGAAGAATACTTGACAAACATAGAATGAACCATGTTTTGTAACTATATGAAAATAGAATACACAGGTCATTAATGTTTAATAGAAGAAAAAATAAAATGCATTATGCTTCAGTTGTTGCCAAATATTTGAAGACTTTGGTTTTGAGAATAGTTATGCTGTTTAAGTTTTGATTGCCTTATAGGAGAATTTTATTCAGTTCTTATTTCTTTCCTGACTTTTTCTAATTCTGTCGTTTATACAGTGCACTTAAAGTGTAGAGGCATTACGTGTGAGTTACCTGAGAGCTTCAATCACATATTGGATTTGTAAATCTGTGTTAATGGAGGCAAAATATCTGAGTTGAAAATGTGTGTAAATATTACAAGTGCTTGAAAATCTTGCAATTTGAAATGAAGGTCGTTTTTATAAACTGTGGGAACCGAGAAGCTTTGTATCTGAGTCAACATCACCTACCTATTTACACAGTACTTGTTTGATAATTCTTAAATGAACAGTAATGATGGATTCTTCAAGCATTCCATCATGGTAGAGGTTATGCTTCTGCAGTTTTTGCCCTTATCAGAAATGCAAGGCATAAAGCTACTTCCTCTTATGTAAGTGAGACTTTTTTCTGAAGTTCTTTTCTTGATGTGAGAATTAGGTGGTACATTTATTTAACTCTACTTCAGGTTGTAGACTGTAGCTTGCTGAAATCAATACTGCTTAGGAGGTTTAAGTTGCATTCAATCCCAGAGAACATGACAAAAGCAGTCCTAAGGGTGATAGAATCAGTGGGAATATGTATATGTCAGTGGCAACCATCAGTGGCTCCACCAGGCAGGCATTTGAATGTGAAATATGCTGCTTATGCATTTTCCTTGGAGTCCCTAATGTGCCTAGTGTTTGGGGGTGCAAATATGAGTCTCTAATCACCTCACTGGCATTTAGATAAACAAAACTTTTGACTGTGAAGTAATACATAGCGTATGTGATGCTTGTGTTAGAACTGCTTTGTAAATGAAATTGTTGTATTTAGCCACATACTATAGCTAAGTGGGAAGGAATTGAATGATTCCTGGCTACCAGACTTTACTCGATTCAGTAGACCACACATACACTGCACTATGATTTTTTTTTTTTTTTTTAGTATGTCAGATCCCTGGCAGTGTTCCTAAATTCTGTATATTTTGTGTGCACAGGCTTATAAGCTAACTGTTCTTTATAAGCAAATCTGAAAATTCTGTTTCTTCCAAATAAGTCCTAGGCATGAGATCTCTCCGTGGGCTGCAGAGTAAAACAATGCTATTTGTGTGATACGACATAACAACAAAATATTTAAACAGGAGCTTAATTCTCCCCATCCCACTTTGGACCATGACAGTGGGCCTCCTGCTGGGAAATACAATGATCTATTATTAAAATGACAGCCCCACCTAGAGAGACAACAGCTCAATTCAGAGAGCCGAAAGCGCTGCACCGCCACTGCCAGCAATTGAGATCAGCTGGTGCACTAGCACAAGCCCTTGATTTAAACATCTGGTGGCAGGACTTTCTCAGTGGAGGTCCATTGACTGTGGAATTCTCTTACACAGATACATACATGATTTAACAAAGCCGAAGGTTCTTTATCCTCAGGGTACAGTGTAAGGCTGTTTCCTTTCCCAGGCAGAAGTGTTTGCTGATGGTCCCACTGGCATCCAGTGCTGCATGAAGAAAATTGTCTTTGAGGGATATAGCCAGTGATGCCAGAGGATGAGCTGTTCAGCAGTAATAATTAGCGCTCTTCACCAGCTCTCTGCAACTGGTAGAATTCTTGAGGGAGGGGCTGTTAGAAACATACCTCATTCTTCCAGAGGAATGCATCATTTTTAGCTGTTACCTCACAGATTTGGAGAGGTGCACACAGCTGAGGATTAGGAAGTCAGAATGTAGGTCGTATATGTTCTGCTATTCTCCATCCGGATTCTGTGTTCTATTGCTCAGTTTCCCATGGATCTTCTCCATGGGAGAATTAATTTCCTGAAAATGCAAATGCTTTTTAAATATATGTTGCAGGTGTAATTCTGCAATGTTTTTTCCTGCCTTTATCACTCTTACAAAATATTTCTGTGCTGAGGAAAACGTTTTAGAAATGATTGCTGTAAATAAAATGACTTACATCCTCGAAGCAGTAAGATCTCAGTGGCAAAGAGAAGAAAGTGTACTAATGTATCTTGCACATGTAGCCTGCCATCATACCTCTGTGAGGGACTGAAGGTGAGGAAGTCTGTTCCTGTTCTCACAGGTTGCTACTGACACTAATATTCTTTTGTCCTGTGTGTGTGAGCTCCTTTTAGAATCAACAAAAATCTGCATGCTATATATTTGCAACATCAATTTGATAATAGTGTATGTATTTTAAATGACTAGCTACCAAGTTGTTAAACACATTATGATCTAATTCACAGGACAGTTTATTTACAGCATGTTAGGAAATTAAGAGCACAGCGTAGAAATATTATTCAACACAGCTATGCAAATTAAGCAAACAGATCAGGGAAGGAGGAACTAATAGATATCCCTGCGGCCATGATGTAACGCAGTATCAGAAGTGTAATGTAGATAGACAGCAATACAATTCCTTCTCCTTGCCCCTAATTCTTCTACTTTGCAAAGTAAACATAAGAAGGAAATTAATCTGAAGAAGGTAAAAATTGTGCACTGAATATTCACTCCTTTTCAACTGTGCTGTATCTGCTTATCTATATGATGAAACTTCATTGTGAAACATATGATAAGGAGATCCTGCTGCTCTTAAAATGTGTGTAAAATTGGGTGTAACTTCAGCCTAGAAAGCTGCACTACATTAGCTTTCACCATGAAAATGAGACAAGAAAAGCAGAAGTGATGAAAATTAGAAATGATTTCTGTGCTATTTTCTGTGTGCTGTTAAACATTTTTAGTAGTTCAGTTCTGTAAGATGTGTAGTGACTTACGGTTTTCTTTTCTATTTTCATGCATGCATTTTAACAGAGAAATTGACACTGTGTGCTAGAACAAGCTTTGGTCTAAAGACTCTGACAACAAATGCAACATTTTTCTCTCTCAGCTGTTTATGAATGGTAATGACAGAATCCAGGGCACCAGTGCATTTACATACATCACTGAAATAATGATTAAATTTATTTTCTATTACTTTCAGCAAGTATTTT